ACCATGTGGTTCTTGTCGTTGAGCCCATTTATGTGATTTATGATGTTTATTGATTTACGTATATTGAACCATCCCTGCGTCTCTGGAATAAAGACAACTTGATCATGGTGGATGATCTTTCTGATATACATCTGTATGCAGTTTGCAAGTATCTTGTTGAGAATTTTTGCATCTATGTTCATTAAGGATACAGGTCTATAGTTTTCTTTTTTCGTTGTATCTTTACCTGGCTTTGGTATTAGAGTGATGCTGGCTTCATAGAAGGAATTTGGTTTATTTTGGGGGCATGAAAAGCTGGTTCATCTAAGCTTCCAGTTCTCTCTTTTGATTTTATATTGGAGTTGCCAGATTGCTTTTGTCTTCAGGAGTTCCCACAGAGGCCCAAGTCAGATGAAGATCAGATGTGCTCTCAGGCTTTCTCCTAAGGTCTGGATCCCTCCAGGAAAGAGTCTGTCCTCAGGAATTTGGGGGTTGGACTGGCCTGGGAGCAGCGCCCAGGAAAGATGCTGGTCTCGGGCAGCTGGTGGCCATGCCACCCAGAGATGCAAAGGGAGATGGGGGAGGGAAGAGGCCCCAAAGGCTCCTGGGGACTGCACTGAGGAACTGGGTTGGTCCAGGAGAGGCTGGTGGGTGGTGCAGGCCCAGGAAGGCAAAGGGAGGTGAGGGCAAGACCAGGCCCAGAGGGCTCCCAGGGACCTCGAGAAGGGACTGGGTCTGTCTGGATGCAAGGAATCAGGAAGCAGTGGTGGCCCCAGGAAAGAGCTCTTTTCTTTTTTTTTAAGGTAGAGTCACCATGCATGGCGGTGCATGCCTTTAGTATCAGCACTCAGGAGGTAAAAGAGAAAGATCTCTGTGAGATCAAAGCCAGCCTGGTCTACATAGCAAGTTCCAGGCCAGGTGGGGCTATAGGGAGACCCTGTCTCAGAAACAGAAAACAAAAACAGGATCTTACCATGTAGCCTCCTCTGGAATAGAACTCACTATATATCTCACAGAGATCCACCTGCTTCTGCCTGCTGAGTGCTGTGATTGAAGGAGTGTGCCTCAGTGCTCGGCCCAGAGAAGAAATCCTTAGGGTGTAGTGTGAACTACATTTTCTGATCATTTGGCCTTTCTTATCCCGGTCACACCTGTACTCTGCCCTAATGCCAGCCACCATTATGGTTTTCTTCAAACAAAAAGGAACAGGAACATGGATGTTTTTGGAGTTTTTGATATCACACTAACCACAGAGTTTGAAGGAAGACTACTGTGCTTTATCT